CTGGACATGTCCAAACCACTGTCCCTCCTCTGGACATGTCCAAACCATCTCAGTGTGTCCTCTCTAACTTTATCTCCCAGTTGTTCAACCTGTGCTGTACCTCTGATGATCTCAGTCCTGATCTTCTCCATCCTTGTCTCTCCTAAGGAGAACCTCAACATCTTAATTTCTGCTTCCAGTTCTGTCTCCTGTCTTTTTGTCCATGTCTCTGTCTCCAGACCATACAACAGAGCTGGTCTAACAAATGGGAAACGTATGGGGGCAAAAAGGACTCGTGCGCTGCGTATGCTCTCATTTGGATATGATATGAACAGAGCTTCAGAGCAGAAGACTCTGAAGTGTAAAACTATCACTGTGGACCACTGACTGGTTGTGCTTACTGTAAACCCACAGCTTGTCCTACTTTCCCATAATAGCAGTTGTAGTTATCCTGATTTCATCTCCTGCGAAGCGTCACCACTTTCTGACCATTAGAGAGTACCAGTGTTTCCTAAATTATCCACAATGGAGAACTCCATCCATCTTTTATCTTTTCACCCGCTTCTTCCTTTTCGGGTCACAGGGGACACTGGTGCCATGTCCAGTAGTCACTGTGTGAGAGGCGGGGGACACCTGGACAGGTCTCCAGTCCATCACAGGGACACCTGGAGACAAACGAGACAAACAACCACTCACACCCAGAGACAGTGTAGTTACCAATCAGCCTAACATGCATGTTTTTGGTCTGTGGGAAGAAACCAAAGTACCGGTATTCAGAGAAAACTCACGCAGCACGGAGAGAACATGTAAACTCCACCCAGAAACGTCCCGGACCGGGAGTCGTTCTGTCGGCCTTCTCGCTGAGAGGCGGCAGCTCTACTAACTGTGCCACCGTGCCGCCCTGTTAGATTAATGATCGGGTTAAATCCAATGTTTTAACAGCCACTCACATTATTATTATTTTATTCAATAAAGGTTGAATTGAATGAAAATAATAATAATGTCCGTGGCTGCTAAAACATTGGATTTATACCTGTAAAAGATTAAGAAAGGTGATTTTCATAAATCAAACAATACTTTATATTAATCACAGAATCAAGTTTTAGTCAAATTTTATCTGCTGGCTGTAAAAGTCAACTGGTATTTAGTGAATGTTTGGAATGTGAAACGTCTGTTGTATAAAAAACATTTAACGTGAAAACCTCTGGATAATTTGAAAAGTTGATGTTGCCTGACTCAGTGTTTTAGCATTATATATATATATATATATATATATATATATATATATATATATATAT